AGAGACAACTTGTTTCACTTTCCAGGAGATATTTCTGATATGAGATAATCTTGCAAAAGGAAGGAGAAAGTCAAAGGAAAATAAGTGAAAAAGCAGGAGTGACCTGGTGACCATCAAAACTGCCCCCATCAGATAAACAGCACTTAAAGCTTTCATCTTTGAGAGAGAGGAGAAAATCAAGCTGCTTCAGATCTGAAAACATCCACAGGTGTTACTGTCCATCCTTCCACTGTGAGAAGACGACTCAGCGCTGTGGGTCTGAAAGGATGTGTAGCTGTCAGGAAGCCTCACCGAGAAAAGGAGACAGACACATCAAACAAAGAGGCTGAACAATGGACTGACCACCCCAGAGTCCAGACCTCAACATCACTGAATGTGTTTGGGATTACTCAGATTGTGAGAAGCAGAAAATGCAAACGACTGAAATTCAGAGCCTTAAAAAAATCTGCAAAAAGCAACTTTCTAGAACAGAATGGAGGGTGTAACAAAGGTAAAAGGTGGACATAGTAAATACTGGGAAAATATATATATATATATATATATATATATATATATATATATATATATATATATATATATATATATATGCAGAGTGGGAGGTGCCACACTAACAGTATGAACTGGACAATATTTGTTATTAGCTGTGTTAGATGTGTCATTGGTGCTAATCTATACTGGGCTATTGGACAGTTACTGTCAGTGTTAGTGCCTACTGTATAGGGAATGTGTATGGCTAGAAGTGACCTGACTGCTATCCTGGTTGCCTGACTAGCGCTAGGCGGCAGTTCTCTCTTGCTGCCTATTGAATAAAACAGCATTTGCCCACATACACAATGTTTCCCTCATTTTATGTCCATTGTACCATCTTGGCTGGAAATCTGTCTCAGTATGTGCTAATGTTCTAGTATATGCTAAAAAATATAAATGAAATATAAATGAAAACACAGACTTACATTGCACTGCTTTAAGCTTCAGCTCAGCTATAGTTGCTTTTCTCGCATCTCTGGCAGGAAACTTTTCCACAAAAGTAGAAGAGATTTTTTTGTAAAATGTCTCTGAATATTTCACTTCTTACGAGGCTGAATTCAGATTCTCATTCTTCAGCTTCTTGTTCGAATTTTTCTGTTCCTCCTTAAATGGTGCCAGAGGCGCTGGAATGTAACTGCTGCACCATTTAAGGTGGAGTGGGAAAATTCAAACAAGAAACTGACTTTTAGTGTTTGTCAAATAAATCCATTTGTCACCAAATTATCAATGTTCATCTTGCATCTTTCTCTTTGCCTTCTTATTAACTACTAGCTAGGTGAGAGTCTTGTCTGCATAGCTACGATGACCAGCAGTCTGCACGCCAACCTTTAGGGTTAAAGTGTGAGGAAGCAGTTAGACATTAACTCCAGCATTTAAAACCATTTATTGTTAAAACTGTGTAAGAATGATCAGCAGATCCTTATTTTTCTGCGAAGGAGGATTATTTTATTTTTACCTACAAATCTAATTCTGCTGTGGAGCCACAATAGAGCAGTAAAAGAGTTGCATGCAGCTCCAGAGCTACATTCAGCTGACCCCTGGCCTAGACGCTACATTATATTTAGTTGTTGAGGCTTCTGTGCAGTTCTCTATTATAATTTTTTCTGCTTTTTTCTGGCACTGCAAAAATGAATAGTGGCTGTTTTGACTGGAAATTAAATAAATGAAGGATGGTCTCTGTCTGACTTTTGCACAGTACTGTCCATTGTTTACAGGGTATTTATGAGCTAAGTGGGAAAATAGGATGTTTTAATGCAGGAAAATGAAAAAAAATACACATGTAACTTCAATGCTAACACATTCTTTGCTACAGACCAGGCAGGAGATGTGATTTAATGGTTCACTGTTATGATGGATGAAAATACTGTTCGTGTTTTTGAGTCTAACGTTTTGTTCACATCATTTTTACATCAAATACGTTGAGTTGAGGCTTCCACCAGATATCCACGATAAAAGATGCAGCATTTTTCAACCTAATCTCTCTCTGCCACATTTGTGTAGTGCCATCAATTATCAAGGACAGAAATACAATTCTCAGTAATGTTATGTTAGGAGCCAGTTGGTTGATTGGGTTGGAAAATGCTGAAATGCTCCTTTAATACATTACAGATTCCAAACTCTGCCAGCTGAACATGAAGAGCTATAAATAAGAAAGAAGTAGCCCTCAGACGATAAGCATGCTTGTTTTCGAGTGCCCCTCGGAGTTCTGGGCATGGAAGAGGCCTTGGAAAGGAAAGAAAGGAAAAACAAATGCTTCCTTTATTTGTAAAAAAGCAAACATAGCGAGCTGCAGAAATTAGCTACAGCAAAGCCAGGATGTCTTTACTAGCAGTAAACCTGCGCAGAGCTTTTAGTGCATCCCCCATCTCGGCCCATGGCCCATGCATCCCCCATCTCGGTCCATGGCCGTCGCACTGTTGTCTGTCAAATTCAATTTTTGAGATTCAGAGGCTTCCTCTGCATGGGGGTTGTGCCAATTCTGATGGCAACAAATCTCAAATATCCAGCAGTAAAAGTCTGTTTAAAAGCTCTCTGTTAGCTCTCAAGAGTGTGTGGTTCTACTTAACATCTCACTTAGGGCTTTCACCAGCCACAGCCTTCAGCACTGTTTGGCTAATCATTATGAAGTTGAAATATATTGTGATATCGCTACTGTCGGAAGAAAACCTCATATTTCCATTTTTGTCGTTTTTCTGTTTTTGACATAATTTGAAAATGCCTGTGGCCCTTTACATTTTTTGTAAATTTCATGATGAATGGACTCAAAGAAATGACCCAAAATAACTTGGAAAAAAGTCTGGTTCCATTGACTTACAATAAAAGTAAAGTAGGTTTTTTCCTTCTCCTGTGAAGTGAACATTTTGGAGATACAAGGTTTTCCTCCGACAACAGCGATATACTGCTTATATATTGCACAATAATATGATGTAATATGTTCTTAATATGTAGTAGTGTGAAAAAGTCTAAGCAGGCAAAACTGGACAGTCGGTGTGTGTTTGCCAGTAAAAGTACTATATAATTTAGAATAAATACAAATAGATGTAATAAAGTTTGGTATTTAAAAAAAAAACTTAATGTGTTGGTTTGAATGTATGTTGCTTTATTCAGACAGCTGCAAAATACTGCTGTCTCAGAAAAAAGCAAGTACTAAACCATATCTGGGGTGGGACCTTCAAAGGTACATCTTCAGCACCTTCAGTTAGGGAATATAATTGTACTATACACAATTAAAATTACTCTCCATATTCTCTTTCCCAGCTTTTTTATTTTCTTTTTCTATTTAAAACATTATGTCATGAAAAGGTACAAAAACACCCCTTTCTGCTGGGAAAGTGAATGTAGAATAACTTAAGGTACACACAGTGTGGACTTCCTCAAGGAGAGCTTTAGAAATGGTTAAGCTAATATACCTACAGACATCATGGATTGCTTATTTGTTTATAAAGTTGGTGTTTAATGAGCAAATACATGCTTAATAGCTTTACATCTCATTTTCTCAGATGAAGTTTACACAGTGCTGTATTATTTTGGTATAAACAGGGAGAGTCCATGCAGTAAAGCACTGGTTTGTGGTGCAGATATTCTGATTGTCCACTTAACTTCAAAAGTTTTTAAAATGTGTGTTGGGGTAAAATATTGCTTTTGCACATCATTCATGTTTTGTATCAATCAAAGTGTTTTCTGAGTTTGATAAAGTCAGTTAAACTGCTTGTTAACATGTAAAGTCACTCTAGGAGGTTGAAGTGACAAAGCATTTTTACAGTGTAGGTCCAGGTCAGGGTGTTGACAACTTGAACTGACTTATTACATTTAGTTTATTTATTTATCATAAGTGGAGAATTTGTGTGGAAAGTGCAGATTGTTAACTTCTAACCCATATTATTATTATTATTATTATTATTATTATTATTATTATTATTATTATTATTAATAATATTAATATTATTATTACAATACAGTGATGGTGACATGATACTCTTATATTACTCAAAAATGTCTGTCAGGACAACTCAGGACAGAATTTAACGTCTGCTATGACATGTTAATAGCATATTTATGTCATTGTTATACAGCAGTGTAAAGTGTGGTGTATACAATGGATCCTGGATGCTGAAAAACACTGAAGAGTTCCCTTTAATTTTACAAACCAATAAATAAATAAATAAATAAATAAATAAATGAGTTTACTTTTATCTTGGCATTTTTGCTTTTTTAAATACGTTATTATATTTACTTCTCAATTCTTTGTTATTACAAAAAAACTAAGAAGTAGGACTTGTTTGCTGATTTTCTAAAAAAAAAAAACAACCGTATGAAACAAACAAACAAACAAACAAACAAATACCCATATGCTCGGAACTAAAGCTATTTTAATTTAACAAGAAGTACTGTTTTAATTTTTATTTACAGATTTTCTACTAAATAAATGAATAAGTAAATAAGAAAATAAGAAAATAAGAAAATAAATAATTAAATAAATTAATTAATAAATTAATAAATAAATAAATAAATAACGTTTTACGTGTACTTTCTGATTTTTTTTTTTGGTCCCCACAAAGATCTTTCTCTCTCTCTCTCTCTCTCTCTCTCTCTCTCGCACACACACACACACACACACACACACACACACACACACACACACACACACACACACACACACGCCTCCCATCTAGTCAAAAGTGTAAAACCAGCAGAGTCTTAACTCATACACGCGCGCGCGTCCACTCTCTTTCATTCTCACTCTGCACTGCCGCCTCCTGGCCACACACACACACACACATACACACACAAACACACACACACACGTATAGACACACACGCACGCGCGCACACGCGCTATAAACGACCGTGCGGCTCGTGCGCTCCACTCAGAGCCGAACGAAAGCGAGACGAGAGAGAGAGAGAGAGAGAGAGAGAGAGAGAGAGAGACAGAAAGAGAGAGAGAGTAGAGGGGGGACACCAGGCTGAGAGGAATGGCGCGTTTCGCCCTCTTCCTCTTCCTCCTCTTCTTCTTCTCCTTCTTCTTCTCGCTGCTGCTGTGCAAAGGCGCGCGGACCGAGGAGGACAGGCACGCGGCGGCGGCGGCGGCAGCGGCGGCGGCGGCGGACAGCAGCAGCGCGTGCCAGCTGAAGACCGTGACCGTGTCCACGCTGCCCGCGCTCAGGGACAACGAGTTCAGCTTCAGCGCTGCTCCAGGCTCGGGCAGCGCGAGCGCAGGTTCAGGGGGGGAGTCCCGGCTGCTGCTGCTGGTCAGGACGGACGTCCCGGGCCACATCTCTGTACTGGACGACCTGGACAACACGGCGCTGCCCTACTTCACCCTGGGTAAGGTCTGGGCTCCGAGCAGTGGGCTTGGAAACTGACCATTTTACTGGGCTTTCCCTTGGTGTCCGCGCGTGCTGCGTGGCTATATTGCACTGTTGTTTGAAAGCTGCACCTTCCAGCGCGGTGGGGTCAGTGTCAGTAAGTGTACGCGCGAGCTGCGCGCGCATACGAAGCAGTTTGTTTGCTTGTTTGTGTTAATTACAGCAGTAGGTGAAGTAAATAATGCTGTAGGTGAATTCAGTTCATTTCACTTCAGCTCTATGGAAATGTGCACCTTGATAACCCCCCACCCCCCTTCCAACCCCCCCAGTGCGGTGGTATGAGCGCGAGCTACCAGGATGTCTAGCAGTTTTGTCCGTGCACGTGAAAGCTGCCCCTCATTCAGCGTGATGCTGTTAGGACAAGCGCGTGCAAGGTGCTTATACTGCACTATTGCTTGAAAGCTGCCCCCTCCAGAGCGGTGGGGTTAGTGTAAATAAGTGTGAACGCGAGCTTTGCATGTTTGTTTGTGTTTATCACGCAGATAAATAAACAAGCCGTTGTAGTTTAGAGTGAATTCAGTTCATTTCAGTTCAGTTTGCATTGGTTTGAATGGAGCAGCTTTACAGTTATTTGCACTGGTGCCTTTATAGGTTTCCCTTCAGCTTGGTGGTCATGGATAAATAGCTTTGTTTTCTCTGTGCACGTGAAAGCTGCACCTTCATTAACCCCCTCCCCACCGCCACCACCACGCCCCCATCCCAACCACGCAGAATGGTGCTGGTTATATAGCAACTCGTTTGTGTTTCTTCCACCAACCAACCAACAAACAGTTATGGTTCAGATTCATGAATCCAGTTCAGCTCAGCCTGTATAGATTAAACCAGAGCAGCTTCACAGGTATTTGCACCTGCAGCCCCTCAGCACCAGCACATAAAAACTGCACCCCCCCTCCAGTGGGAGCTACACATGGTTGGTCATCACTGGATAGTGCTATGGTTGTCATACAGTCAGGACTGTTTCCTATCTGCACTTTGTTTACTTGGTTGTTTACTTGTTTGTGTTTGTGTGCACCAATGTGAGTACTGCAAGAACAAGCGATGTGGCCATGTAGTAGTTTGCCAGTTGAGTTAGTTACACTGATAGATGGATAAACAAATAAATAAACAGGTAAATAAATCAATCAGTTTGATTAAAATTCAGCCTCGTAAACAGATTCAATTCAGTTTGTACTGATTTCTTTAGACTACAGATATATTGCACCCGCATTGTTATAGGCTTCCCCCCTCGATGTGGTGGTCTCAAAGCAAGCTGGATAGTGGAAGCTGCACCTCAGTACCCCCTTTCCCCAAAATCCCCAGTGTGGTGCTGGTTATAGAGCAGTTTGCTTGTTTGCTTGTTTGTGTTTGTGCATCATTGTGTTTGAGATTCAGCCTCTTGAACTGTATTGACAATATTTGAACCTGCACCTTTATAGCCCTTTGTGGTGGTCATAGCTAAAGCCACGTGGTTCTGTAGCACTGTTTTCTCTGTGCAAGCGAAAGCTGCACATTCATAACCCCCTACCACTGCCCTCCCCGTGTGGTGCACCTGGCTGTTTACTTGTTTGTATCTATTATGTTTATGCTGTTAATGTAAGTGATGTGAGAAAAAGCTATTTGTAGTTTATATTGGCTGATTTACAGCAGCTTTACATAAATTTGCACCTCAGTGTAGTGGACTAAGCATGAGCTACGCGGATAACGTCGCTGTCCTAACCAAACTTCATATCCTGAAAATGGTAGTTTTATAGGAGAAGGGAAAAACATTAATACATTTCACATAAATTACTCTAAAGTGATTTTATTTCAAGCCCTTTTGGACCACTTGGAGCACTGTTGGTCCATTCATCATAATTTTCAAGCAGTATAAAAGAAAGCCAATATTTCCAAACAATAACATGTCAAAAAAATGAAAAATGGCTAAAAGGGAGATACAAGATTTTGTTTCAACAGTGATGATATAAAGCGGTTTTCCTTAAAGCTGCACCTTTACACCCCTAACTCGTGCAATCCAGGGGTGTTTTAGGTCGGGGGTGCTGAAATTTTAAGCAGCATATATGTAACGTGACCGATGATGTCATGCTAAATGATTTTCCTTTTTTGATTGCTTCAGTTTTTTTTGTAATTTACATGAAACAGAACTCGTCAGTCAGTCCTACAATGAAGCGAGAGAAGAAAATAGACATATAAAACTGACACATCAGATCACTGATTCCTCTCTCTGCTCTCTCGTTCTGGACCAACTTTATGCAAATGAGCTGAGTGGTGACCGATCAGATGATCGGTTGATATGTGGCAGACTTTGTCATGTCCACAGTCACACTGAGATTTAACACTGAAACACACTCTGAGTTAATAAAAACTTCATTATTTCAATTGATTATTATTTTTAAGTTCATAAAGCAACATTATGCTGATTTGGGACTCAGAACTGGCCTATAACCCTGGATAGACTTTCTCTCTTTTCATCTTAGCCTGCATGTTTGAGCGAGATGGTCATAAAGTGGCCAACAGTGCAGCTAATGCAGATTTTTAAAATATAAAAATACAAATTCCGCTCTTAATCAAGCACACGAGTCTTTACTATGCTCGATTTATTATAAAATCCAGATTGTTAATTATTATTATGTTTAACAGTTACAGTCCTGAAATCACCTGCTGTTTCCTTTCTGCTCTCAGTTTGCTTATTTGTTTGTGTTTATTACATAAAAAAATAAAACATCCTGGGTAATATTCACCCAATAAACCCATCCAGTGAGCAGGTGTACAGTGAACATCCTCAGGCTGGCGGTGCTACATAGTTATATTGTTTTCTCCATGCTGCATCTTTATACCCCCCTAATGTGTGGTGGTCTTTGTGTGTATATGGTTCCATGGCTGTTTCTCTACCTGCGTGTTTGCTTGTATGTGTTTATTGATGCTGATAAACACTTTTAGAGCATGTAGCAGCCCTCCTTCATTCTGGGTAAGATTTAATCCCCAAACAGTGATGATTTGTACAGTGTTTTGTTTTTATGACACATTTTTGTCCCGAAGCTTTCTCTAGAACTTAATCTAGAACCTGCACTTTAAGGGCCGCCTCTCAGTTTGGACGCCTCTGGTCAAATGACAAGTTTTGTTGATTTTCTGAGTGAGGAAAAAACAAAAGAAGAAAATATTCTGTACAGAAAACACACTCCTGTACATTTAAATGGAGAATGACTGTTTGCTGAATTTAACCTGTTGGGGAAAAAAAGAAAAAAGCAAAAACACACACAAAAAAAAAACAACAACAAAAGAACAAACCTAAAATTGTCATTTGCAAAAGTTATGGCACACTTTGTATTTTAAGTTTTTTCTGATATGCGAAACTTAGCAAATAAGCAGGAATTGGGCACTAAAATTTACGGAAAAATGCCGTTAAAGTGTTCATTTTCACAAAACATTTGACCAGGGGTGTTCAAACTTTTGCATACGACTGCACATGATTATATGACATTGTTGACTGCCTGCATTAGTGTTTAGTACTATGCGTGCACTCTGACTGCTTATTTATTTAATACGTTTTTTTTTTTTTGTTGTTCGTTTTCTTAAATATTAATATAGTATGGGGCACATTTTCTTTACTGGGCTGCCCTGTTTCATCAAAACAACTCCCACCTGCACCTTTATAGACTACCTTCCAGGGTGCTACGTGCTTCCAAAGTAGTTTCTCAATGCACTCATACTCTCATACTCATGTATGTGTTTATTATAACGAACAGAACAGTTTCAAAGCATATGATGACTGTATGTTTACTTATTTATGCTGCATCATTGAGCAGCCCTACCTTTCCCTGAGTAAGAGTCAACCCAGATGCCCCTTGGGGTAAACGATGCCCCTTTATAACCCAATGTGGTGGTGTTAGTGTTAGCAGTATAGCACTATTATTTTTTTCATGCACTTTTATGATCTAATTTGCTTGTTTATGTTTATTGCGATCATAAACGAACAGATTTTAGGGAGCGGAGCTGATGTGAGCTGAGGTCTGAGACGGTAGTGAGTGAGATTAAAGCCTGCGTTGGCCTTGGCTTTGCTTTCAAGAAGAAAGACAGAGAGGGAGAAAAAAGAAAGAGCTGCAGTGAGTAGAGGGTAAGGTGCATGTGTATGTGTTTCAAAGTGAATGAATGAAGGCGTTATTGCCTCTGCGCATGTGAGAGCACATAGTGGTGGGGTTTAGTGCTGGGGTCCTGGCAGCACTTGCAGCTGTTCAGGTCCTGGAAGGGTTTTTTTTTGGCTCAGATATGTTAATGTTGTGAAGTCTTGGGTGTAAACGCCTGCTGCTGAGTTTTCCCCATTGCGTACCCAGCCTGTGTTTATTACCTGGCCTTTTTTTAATGTTGTAAATGATGGACGATACGTACTGCTAAAGGTTTTGCTGCTTTGATGAATTGATAGGGATGAATGAATCAAATTATCTGTGAAAAAGAGACTCTGTACATTGAACTCTTGTTTAAAGTCTGCTACATATTTCAAAGGCTTTGTGTGAAGGACTTCATTAAATAATCCCACATTGTAAAAGTCTTAGCAGAAGCTTACATAATAAATCTTTAATGGGAAATTTGTAATGCTCACTGACAAGGCAGGCGAAGATGAAGGACTATTGCATAAGCCCTAAAAGTACAGTTGTGTGCAAATGTTTGGGTGCAGTTGGTCAAATTATGTTTTTTTTTTTTTCATTTTCTAGGAAAAAAGGAAAAAAAAAATTAATAGAAAGTTGCTGTTTATATGATGTGTTAACATATAACTTCTTTAACTTGTTTAAAACCTGGAGAACAAACTGGGAACAAAACCTCCAAACTGGGAAAGAAAATCTCCAAAACGTTAACTTTTACAAGAGAAGGAAAGAACACATTTTACTTTTAATGTAAGTCTATGGAACCAGACTTTTTTCCAAGTAGTTTTGGACCATTTCTTTTGGTCCATTCATCATAAAATTTATACATAATGTAAAGGGTCAC